GATGTCATGTGAGCACAAAATAATTTATATATTTCTTATTTTATTGTCCAGCAGGAAAGGTCACGTTTGCTGTGGCCAAGTCCGGCAAAGAAATAAATTTTAAAAAACATGTAAACCAGCTGGCCTGATTGAATTGTTGTTGTATTGTTTCCTCCTGTTTCCAGTCTCTGTGCTAAGCTAAGCTAAAGAGCTGCTGGTTCCAGCTTCATATTTATTGTACAGATGTGAGAGTGGTATTGATCTTCTCGTCTAACTCTCGGTAATTAACTGACACTAATGAACACCAACAAACTGCCTGCTACTGATCAGGTCTTTCAAGGTCACCTGTTATGCCTCTCCTTATTTGGTGTCATATATATGTTACCATATCGGATGTTCATGTTAAATGTCACCAACATTTGAAATAATGAGATTAATGCATCTAAATGTTTTCTACTTTGGCTGCACCATGAGGTCAGATTGTGACAAATTCTAAATGGTGATCTTCAGGCACACTACGGCAAGAGTTTACATTACGTACACTGCTACATGTAGCTACATGCTAATGGCAGGAAAACGTGTAATCTTGCTCGCTGATGTGGTTGATTTCTCCTGGATTTCGGATTATATTCCGGTTGGAACCAACACGTTCTCACCCAACACAACAAAGCGAATTGATGTTTTTGTTTCTTCAACGACAAACGCACGTGGTTAGGTTTAGGAAAAAAGAACAGGGTTTAGCTTTCGAATCTTACAGGACACAAACAGCGCTCTCCCGGGTGAAAGTCAGTGTTTGTTGGACCCATCCACCAACGGCCCCACCCACCCTACTTGGACTTTCGCTGCCTTAACTTTCATTCTTGGCTCGTTGTGTTTCCCCTGACGCTACCGAGCGCCGTTAAAGTATAAGGCCGACCAGCTCTGTAGCATGCTGACGTTAAAGGTCAGCTTTTTCATAATGTCTGATGCTGCAAGTCATTGCCCAAGCGCCAGATTTGGATGACTTCGGAGTGAGACAGGGTAGCTGGAACATGTCCAGTTGGCAAATTTGAGAAATCCTAGGGTAGCTAATTAGAGGCAGAGTAAGGCAGGCCATTCCTTCGCTATCCTATGATCTGCATTCTTCGAGTCTGGCTTGTGTTTAGGAGCTATAAGTAGTAACTGTGTTACAGTTATTCACTGGCTGCCATAATGGAGATACAGAATATCTGAAAATGCTGACAAATCAGAGGAGACTGGGCTTTTCGGGAGGGGGTCTTAAAGGGACAGGCACTAAAATGGGGCATTTCAGAACTAATGTGAATACAGGTATTCCAGCACAGACAGTATGATAAAAAATTTTTAACATTAAAGCTTGTAAACATGTTCCAGTAGAGACCCAAAATACAAGTATGAATCTGAAAATGAACACTATAGGTCCCCTTTAAAACTCCTCTCCTCTGTCTTAAACAGATGTGAATTGTTTCATGTAAGAAGCCTCTTTATTGGCCTCAACTCATCCGATCTAAGTGCACCTTTTGTTGCATTTTACTTGGTTTTTCGTGACATTTCATAACTTTAAGTAAAATTAGTTTGACAGCTGGATGAATGCACGGCTCCCTGTCTCTCCCTCCCCTCAGGTGGGTATCTGCTGTGTGTACGGGCGCTCTCCCAGCCAAACACTCCACTGGCAAAGGGCTACAAATACACCCATCAGTAGGCCTCCGTCTGTCTCGTGCGCTGACAGTAAAGAGCCGTCAACGAGAGAAAGGAGGCAGACAGCAACAGCCCGGGGGGTGAGAAGGAGGAGGAGGAGGAGGAGGAGGAGGAGGCGACGATGCTCTCCTTCCTTTTCTAACTGAACAATGGAAATGCTGTTGAGGGACACCAAACACCAACACTGACTCAAATAGCAGCTTTATGTCCACTTTGTAGGAAGAAATACGGGGACAAATATAGTACACACACACACACACACACACACACTACACACACACACGCACACACACACACGCGCGCACACACCTGCTTTGTTTGTTTTGTAAGCATTTCAGAGATAGGACATCAAAAAAAAGTCCAGGTGTTTCCCTGGTGATGTTTTGGGTGTGGATAACCACGGCTGATAAAGCAGCAGGGCTTCAGTTAGAGGAAACAGACGATAAGAAAACAGCACCAAGGAGAAATCGAGACAGATGATAAAGCCTTTAGTGTGCTGGAGCCTGCAGGGTAAATAATGATTCATTTCATTATTAATTAACTCATTGCAGCTGGAAACTTTGAGATCTACGCTAGAATTTAAAACACATTTCTGAGGTTTTTCTGACTGATCTACAGCTAGACCGTCGCTTTAAATTTATATTGTGTCAAAAACATATAAAAAATGCCCATCATTACTCACTAAAGCTTGAGGTGACATCTTCAAACAGCTTGTTTCATCCAACCAACAGTCCAGAACTCAAATTTATTACAAATTTACAACAATAAATCTGTGAAAAGCAGCAAATCTTCACATTTGAGAAACTAAAAGTAGCTGATATTTGATATTTTCCCTCAATAAATTCCCTTAATAATAAGTCAGTAATGCAAACTGTTAGACCTCTGAAACAGTCACTCAATGAATCAACTAACTGATCAACAGAATCTTAACAGGCAGCAATTTTGATAAAAAAAAATCTCCATGTGAGATTTTGCTGCCTTTCTCTTTTTTACACTCGGAATATCTTTGGGCTTTAGACTGTTGATTGAATAAAAGTAAGGTATCAACTTGCAATATGTGAGATAATAATGGTATGGAGGCAAATTGCATTCACAAAAGAAAAAACAATAGAAATCTTATCTCAAACTGATGAGTTACTATCTCTTATTATGAGAAAAGATCTGGTGATTATGAAATCATGATCTTGTAATTATGCAGGAAGACAGCAACTTCCAGCAGGTCAGACTAAGGCTGTCTGTCTGAACAATGACTTAAAACACCTGTGCAGTGTTAACATACTAATATTAATGTCATCCATATTAAAGGTCCAGTGTGTAGGATTTAGGGACATCTATTGGCAGAGATGGTGCATAATATTCATAAATGTGTTTTCATCAGTTAGTCACCTGAAAATAAGAAGTTCAGAGCAATTATTTGTGATGAGATGAAACTGTTTTAGAACGTTGCAGAGAAAAGTTGTGGCGGTGTGAACTGGCTGGTCTGAGCTCGACTCAAGCCGACTGATGGCGTCACCTGCAACTCTGCTGGTCAAATCGCCAGTGGCTGGTTTTAGAGCGTAAATCACGTCACCTGTTTCTACAGCAAATCAGCTTTCAATAAAGTCGTCTGTCAAAATGATTGTAGACGCGTGTTTCCTCCGTCCCAGCCGAGACCTCTGTTTCCATCACCATGGTGTGCCAGTGTCAGATGGTGGGACCCTGCTGCTCGCAGCCGTTTCATCACTACTACAAATGCAGCTGTAGCCAGTATCTCACTATCACTATCCTCAATCATATGTTAAGAAGCTACAAATTATATTCAGCCACAAAATAAACCTGAAAAGCTGCAAATCAGAACAGAAGTACAGAGTTGTTGCATAGAGATGATACACCGTCTCATCTAGTTGCATTGGTGTGAACCAGCAGGATGGCGCATCGCAAGTAGTTGCCCGTTTCAACTCGTCTCGTCCCAAGTCTTTGGTCTGAACTGGGTTTAAGACTGAGCTGTTTATATCTACATACAGAGCAGGTCCTCTTCCAGGGAGTCCACCATGTTGTTTCTACAGTAGCCCAGATAGGACAAACCAAACACTGGCTCTAGATAGGGCCATTTGTGTTTTTGCATTAGCCTTCATAATTCTCCTACATGCACGCTTTGCATGCAAGTTTCAGTTGGTTGCAATCTGTAAACTCACCACTAGATGCCACTAAATCCAACACACTAGACCTTTAAATACAGTCATTAACAAGCAAGAGAACGGAGAATGAAAACAAGCTAAGCAAAATTAAAGCAGGTATAAAATACTTTGTTACAGTGCCGTGTAACAAATGATCAAATATTGGATTTGCTAAAAGGCAGCAAACAGCCTTGATTTAAAAGAACTTCTAGTTGCAGCAGATCGGCCATTTTGCTGAGTTTGTACCAGATATGTGTTGCATGAAAACTGAACGCAGCAGACCTGCCCCAGACGACCTCAGCGGTCTCAGCTGTTCATAATGTAGCAGAAGATCAGAAATGTATTATGGCCCTAAACCATTCAGTGCTTTGTAAACCAACAGTGGTTTGCTGACAGATAAGAAGCCAGTGTAAAAACCTGCAGACATCAGCTTACTAAGACATCACCTTGTGTTATGTGAGACTGTAATGGAAGAGAAGAAATTAATTTGTCAAATTAGAGCAGCTCAAAAAAAGAAATAGAGCTTCTGAATAAGTGCACATGCTGCTTTTCATGTGTGTGTGTGTGTGTGTGTGATTTGTGAGTCTCCAAAACAAAGTATCGAAAGCAGACCTGCAAACCTCTGTTGCCACCGCATACGATTACAACCGCCAACATAGCTGCATACCAGCGTTTTAATCCCACTAAGCTGTCAGAATGCACTTCCCCTCTCCTTTCCACCATCTCATCCAAAGGAGAAAAAAAACTCTGAACATCCCTTCTGCTGTTCCTGTGTCAGAGGAGAAGCTAATTGTGTTCCAAGTGTCAGGAGGATTTCCGTAATTCAGAGACGGCTGTGGCCCAGGAAATGAATTAAAACTTCCAGGTGGCCATTGGTCATCTGGTTGATATACTAAGAACCCACATTGGTCAGCAAGGGCATGCCACACACAGTCACAGTCACAGTCACACACACACACACACTGAGGATGACTGACAGATAACACACAGCCGCGCCAACATGCCCCCTCTCCTCTGGGCATCTTGGCAACCACAAGTCACAACAATCTCCTCCTCTGATCTGATTATAGACTTAATGTGAGCTAGTGTGTGTGTGTGTGTGTGTGTGTGTGTGGTGGAGTGTGTGAGCGACCAACTGCCCGACTCTACTGACTGACTGAGCGATCGTACCTGGGATGTGTTTGGCCCAGCCGATGTTGACCACCAGCTCTCGGTCAGCCAGGTCACACAGCGTGGTCAGAGCCTTGATGTCGCTCTCGGGTACGGTGGGGTCCGGCATGGCGAAGATGCCCTCTGGCTCGGCCACCAGCAGCAGAGACACCACCTTGTTCTCTATCGCGCCACCAACAATGACTGAGAGAGATGGAGAGAGTGAAATTAGATTTTTAAAATCATAACCACCTCTATTTAATCATTATTTATCATATGACCAGGTAATTTAGGCCGTTACACAAAAGCACATGTAAAGAAGCACCATCAGAAACAATCACAGACTTTGAGATTAAAGTCACAAATTTATGAGAAAAAAATAGTGGAGGTATTTTATTAAGGAACCACTTTGCTTCTCTTTGTAAGGTTGGATCAACCTCATCACACCGCCTACGCTGGCTGAGGCAGATGGCCAGAGGTTGATGTTGTTTCCTCATCCAATCCATTTCTCTGCAATTTTTGACTTAACAATTTAAGGGAATTAATTTGAATTAATTTCAAGTTTTTTCTTGTACATTTACGACTTAAATTTCAGAAAAAATTATGTTTTTTTTCTCATAAATTTGTGAGGGGTTGTTTTAGAGCAAATTCATGAATTTAATCTGAGACAATATCAGAGTTTTTTCTATTAAATTCATGAGTTTTTCCTTGTTTATATATATACGTGTTGGATTTAAAAGAAACTCATAAATTTGTGACATTTTTCTCGTAAATTTATGACTAAAATCTCAGAGAAAATGTGAGTTTTTTCTAGTAAATTTATGAGATTTATTTCTTCTATTTATTTCTATAATCAAAGTTTTTTCCAGTAAATTATTTTTTGTAAATTTACGACTTTAATCTTAAAGGATATCTGAAGTTTTTCATGTAAATTTATGACTTTAAACTCAGACAATAACAGTATTTTTTTTTTCTAAATTTATGATTTTTTTTCTTGGAAATTTACGCCTTTAATTTCAGAGAATATTATTGGAAAATTGTGAATTTTGTCTAGTAAATTTATGACAAATCTCAAATAATCTCAGACAATATCCAAGTTTTTTTTTTCTCAAATATTCGATTTTATTCTCTTGTTTTTTCCTTTGCTCTTGCAAATTTTTTATTTTAATCTGAGCATATTACCTCCCTCCCCTGACTTTAGTGACCCCTGCAGTGCTGTCTTGTGAAAACCGTATACCTCCAAATTCAGTGATTTTAAAGCAAAGGGGTTAAAGTGTTCCTCTATGGGTTGAGAAAACCCATAAAGCCATTGAAACCACTCAGGAATATCTGAAAAACTGCATGGTATTATGTTAAAAAAAGCTAGAGATGGGTCTTTTTTTTTAGCTCATCAAAAGTTGAGGTTTTGGAGATACGTGGTTTTCACAGGATGGCAGTGTAGTTCATTGCAGCCATTCAAAGCTTCTTCCTACTTCTCACTTCAAAACTACAGCTGGCGTTGATTAATGTCGACTCATTAGCAAATACAAGCTATAAAGATGATGAAGTGTTACAGCAGACAACATCACAGAGAGCATGATTTGACTGTTCTGAACTCTCAGACCACAAATAAAAACAGATCCTCTCATATCAACAACAAACAACCATTATGAACTATGGTCACATTCATAACCCACCACAGTTAATAGTTTGTACACTTACATGTTTTTTTCTGGGGCAAGGTGTTCTGTGGGTGCAGATACGGGCTGTTCTCAGCGTCTATTCTCCTCTTGTACTTCTGTCTGCCGCCTCGAACCCGGTCCAGACGCACACCTACAACAACACAAACACCACGACATTAATGTTGTAATGATGTAGTTTAACACAAACTGCTGGCACACTCTTAGTATACACTCCATGAAGGCAGACTTTGATGTTTTTCAATCTGGACCCTATTTTCCCATGTTTAAGTGTCTAAATGACTAATGGCAACATCAATTTTTAAATTTGGCAATTTTGGAAACATCAAAAGAAAAGTTACAATTTCAGTCGACCAAGATTTTCTGTGGTTGATTACCGCCCTAGTTCAAACAGGTGATCAGTTAACCATCACAATGTCGCCCAATCATCAACTCCCACGTCTTAACGCCTCCTAGGAGACATGAACGGGACGCCTCCAACGCCTGCACAGCAGCATGCATCCTGTAACACGACACCCAGGAACTTCAGAGCAGCCGATGACAACTGCTCATCTTAACGAGCATTGTGGTGGCCTCGTCGCCACGGCGATGGGGATTTAAGAGTGTGTGTGTGTGTGTGTGTGTGTGTGTGTGTGTGTGTGTGTGTGTGTGTGCAGGAGGTAGCAGTCAGTACAGAGAGTAACAGTCACCAGGTGTATCTCTAAAGAAAATGTGTCCAGCGAGTGTGAACGTGACTCAGGCAGCCTTCAGTAGTGGTGTTGGGTTTCCTGATCTACAAAGTGTAAACGGCCATAGTGACCCTGAATAGATCTATAATGGCACTCTGAGGGTATTATTTGCCCACTTGACACCTCTCAGTGACACTTCATCCCTTTGAGCCTGCTGTCTCCTGCGCTCACTCTTACCTATGCAGATATTTATGGAGCGCATGCATGAACATCCACGTTAAATAACATAATGTCCTCTTAATCAGGCGTGTAAATGTGTTGTAGGGTTGAAGGGTTCTTAGTTTTTTGCATCATTGGTTTGTAAAGCTATTTTGTGTGTCATTTTATAGTTAAGCTATTACCATAACAACATTTTTATAGAATTTCTGCTTTATTAGTTAATGTGCCGTGAACACAGAGAGGAAAGATGGAAAGAGGAGGACACTCATAACAAAGCGGTGGTGTGAGAACATGGCCTGAGACCTTTGCTGTGAGCCAACAGACTCTTCCACAAGACCACTATGAAATACCATGCTCAGATGCTGCATGACTGGTTACTGTCATATTTAAAGGTGGACAATTTTGACAGATAGATGCTTGCAGAATCCCCATTGGCCCACATCCATACAGGTCCTATTACAGTGCTGTATGTAAGCCTATTTATCAGACATGAAGACAAAAAATCCTGTAAATATAGACCTATTTTACATTAGAGATTTCTGTATTTCATTTTTCCTCTAAGCTCCTCTCACTGGTATGAGGTGGGTAGGACTTTGCAAAAGGTGGTGCCATGTATTTCCCTGCACCAATCAGGGTTTAACAATATTTGAATCAAAATCTGAAGACAGTTGTTTGCTAATGTTTTGAGACCTCTGTCAATCAAACCACGCCTATTAAACTCTTGATAAGTAATAAATACTTAAGAAATCTTAAAGGCAAACTACTTCAATTTTCAAAATCCATACATGTTATTTGTATGGTCTAAGGCAGTCCAAAAAGTTTAGTAATTAGAATTACCACTCCATGGTTGTATGCCTTCGCCCACCAGTCAATTTTCATTACAGTTTATGTCCATGTCTGTGAAAACGCAGATGCTTCACACACAGAAGAGCTATACAGTCAGCACAGTTTTGGGATGATATAACGTTGAATAATGGCCAGAAATATATTTTATGCAAAATATTATGATGTCACAGTGAGGGTGACCTTTGACCTTTTGGATATAAAATGACATCACTTCATTATTTTATCCTGTTAGACATTTGCGTGAAGTTTTGTTATAATTACTGTATTAATTCTTTAGTTATGGCCAAGAACATGTTTTGTGAGGTCACACTGATCTTGACCTTTGACCACCAAAATCCAATCTGTTCATTGTTGAGTCCAAGTGAACATTTGTGCCAAATTTGAAGAAATTCTCTCAAGCTGTTCTTGAGATATCACACTCACCAAAATGAGACAGACAAGGTCACAGTGACCCTGACCTTTGACCCTTGACTATATAAATCAAACCACTTCATCCTCAACTTCAAGTGAATGTTTGTGCCAAATTTGGAGAAATTCCCTCATGATCACCACAGTTGCATGGTGCAGGAACAGGTATGGGGCACAGAGTGGGAATTTAATAGCCACCATTCTCCCTGTAGATCAGTTCACTGGAACTGTATTGCCAGACAACAGCGTGGGTCCATGTTTACCTCCTGTCAGCTCATGTCATTCAACTACACTGCAAAACATTGCAACAGGAAAAAGAAGCGAATTTAGGCCCCGATCACATGCGAGGCGCACTGCACCGTTGTTGTTTTTGTTTTAATTGTATGTTACTAATAAAAAATGCTTGCTATGTGTTTTTATTGTTGCCAGGCAACCATGCAATTTCTTTTCACAGTAATCAGTAGTTGGTTCCTAAAATGTTGAGGCAGAGGGTACTACTTTGGTTGAGGGTGAGAGGCTGTCAGCAAATAGTTTCTCGGGCAGAGGGAAACAGAGATCTGTGTGGGTACATGAGACCCTAAAAAAGAGGGTGGATCATGGGGAGTACCTCCAGTTGGTCCAGGGGCTTCGCATCCACGATGGCCGTTTCCAGGCATATTTTAGGATGACTCAGGGGCAGTCTGACAACCTGCTGTCTATCGTCGGGCCGTCTAGCTCTGGGTATCCAGCAACCGCTACCACCAGTTTCTCCTCCATTGTTTACCAACTGTAAACTTGCTGTCGTGACCACCACAGAAGCCCCGCCTCTCAAATCATTCGATTGGACAATAGGAAAAAAGCGGAGATGGTGTGGGGTGCTTTCATTTCAACTCGAGAAAATGCTAGGCACCTAAAAAAAGCCAACAGAAAGCTTCATTCTCATTGAAAACAATTACAAAAAGTCGACTTCAGCTGCTTAAATGCTTTCTGTGTCATCAGGGCCTTAGAATGCTGCTGTTGTCAAGATTGAAATGGTCTGTTACAAATCAGGGGACCATCTAAATGATTTTGAAGCAGTTATTTTAGGAGTCACCTCCCCATGTGCAAATACTCCATCAAAAAAAGTTTGCTCCCAAGACTTTGTTGCAAAGGCATCCTGGGCTAAGTGCCGCCAAAGACGATAGTGCAGAATTCTGATGGGTTCAGACAGATCTTTCCCCAGCGCCGGCACGGGGCGAGAAAGGACTGGCTACGGAGACTACTTTTGGTCCGATGACGGTGAGATGTGAGTTGGCAGTTTTGGGGCTCAAAGGAAGAAGTGAAGAGCTTGCACTCAGGAAGATGAGTGGGGTATTAGAGAAGAGATTGGTCGGGCAAACTCAGTGCCCCCTGACCCCGTGGTGATGTCATGAGGGGCAACAGTAAGTGTGGATTATCCCGGGCTGTTGCCAGGTGCCTCTCCGAGGTGTGAGATGAGGGATGAGGGTGCTCACTCATGCATCAGATTAAACACAAACTGCTGGCAAACACTGGATTAAATGAAGCGACTTTGGTCACTTGATATGTAAGTAAAGTGTGTTTTATACGGGTTTAATTGTGTGTGCTCAGATCTGACAGTTATTCCAACACACACATCAGAGCTAAGTGTAACTCTTCACAGTGGAATGTGCTGACAACCAAAAGGCCAAGAATAGCTTTGGTGGATAACAGACACACACACCTCCTCCCTGTTCTTCTGTACAGCCCATCAGAGTTCGATAAACACCGACTACTCAGACATTGATCTATTTTTTGCTGCTTTCATCACTCAGCCTTCTTTTGAGAGCGTCTGGATCTTCACATGGGAGGCTTTACAGGTTCCCAAAATGCACACGGTGCAGCAGGATCAGGAACACGGACATCCAGCCGCTGATCCGGACTGATCCTGGTTACTGTGTCCCCCCCGTCCACCACCCACTGCCTCCATCACGGCTGCCTCCACCAGCATGTGTTCAGTATAAACAATCTGCTCACATATTGTGACAAATGTACACAACACCGCTGTGGCGTTACATTCCCTGCACACTGCCGCTCAGATGAAAAGGATTTGGAAAGTTGGCAGTGAAAGCACACACATAGTCTCTGTGTTCCGTTCTGATGCTTTTCTCAGAATACAGATTAGCACAGCGTGATTAACACACCTGAGACCAAGTAACGTCAGGCAGCAGGAAGTGGGGATGAGATAACGAGACAAAGGAGGGTACTTTACTGACGCATCGCTGCACCACTGACCATTTCTCTTTGGAGCATACATTAAAATACAGGACCACACATTTAGTGGAGAACGGGGTTGGTTGTCACATACATTAGATCTCGCTACCTAGAGGGCGCTGTAAAGAAATGTAGGTACTGAAATTTCACTGCCTTTGGTTTTGAGGTTTGAGGTCACCTACAGGGTCATTTCAGGGGTGTTGTTGCATTCACAGCGGGCGCAACAACAATGCGCGCGAGCCAATTTCATATAAAGTCAATGTAAAGACGCAATTAGATGCGAATTCCTGCTGGGCAGTTCGATTGAGATCTTGAGATCTTGAGACATATGACGCAGATGAGTTTATAATAAAATAATTACTACCATTAAAAAGTATGAAGGGAGAGCTAGTTTTGTGTAGCCAGACCTATCTCCAGTTTTGGTTGTTTAGCCAGTGCAGGGCTACAGTCGACCTCTGTGGCTTAGAAGAGCTCACCTTTGGGTGGGGTGTATTTCCTGGAGCTTCAAGTTGTTGTGTTGTCGGTCGTAGTAGCCGAGGTGTTTCAGACCAAAGGTTTGAGGATGTGTTTTTCGCAGCGGAAAGAGTTTTAGTCCAACTACCTGCAGCAACAGTGTTCAAAGTCAAAGTAATGAGAATACTTCCAGCCCCTAAGGTAAGTTTTACACCTTCCAAACTAGCTTGCTGTTTTGTGATGTGCCTGCACAGAGCAACGATTACGTAAATGAGTCCGCTGATGTGATAGTTGTATTTCAAGTCAAGTAAAGTTGTAACAAGTTGTTTGGTTTTGGTGTAATTATAATATTATTACTGAAATTTTTTTAGTAATAAGTGACACTACTCGTTTCTGGAAAAAGTAATATTATTACTGTAACGCGTTACTGCCCAACACTAGCCACAACATGTGGTTATTAGCTTAGTCACTAGCAAAAAGTCACAGTTGAGGACACTCGTCAAATCCTGTTCAGGGTTGGTTGTTCTTTGTTTTGTTCTTTGTATTGTTAAATAAGGCTGCACTAATAGTAATGATTGTTTTCTTGATGCATGAGCTGCTTCAATTTTTCTATGTGCAGTTTGTCTGCACAGCCTGGTCAACCCATAGAGTATTTAGAGATGTCTCTTGTGGGGCGCCTTCTAGTTCACTTAGTAGAGCAGGCGTCCCATGTACAAAGGCTGTGTCCTTAACGCAGCAGCTGCAAGTTTGATTCCAACTCTGGCTCTTTGTTGCATGCCACCCCCACTCTCTCTTTCCCCATGCCACGCTAGACTTTCCTGTCTAACAAAGGCAAAAATGGCAAAAAAATAATCTTAAAAAAAGAGAAATGTCTCTTGTGCTTCGAGACTTTTACTTTTGTTCAGAATTCGGCACGTTGCTCCAAGAACAATTAAATGTTCTCTTTGGGATTGATCATAATGGTTATAATTATTAGCTGTTTCAAAGCCATCTTGCTCTTTAACAAGAGAATAAAAGGAAAGGGTTTTTTTTGGGGAGTTTTTCCTTATCCGCTGTGAGGGTCCAAAGGACAGAGGGATGTGTAAAGCCCTGTGAGGCAAACTGTGACTTGTGATATTGGGCTTTATAAATAAAATTGATTGATTGATACAAAATATCTGAATAATTGTTAAAAATTAAAAAATATGAAACATGTTTTGTTTTTTCCCTTTAAAATAACACTGGGACAACCAACCCCATGATGGGGATGGGTATTCTAAGTGCACATATCATATTTGACAGTCCATATCTTTAAAACAGAATAAGCGTAAGGACATTAAGGTCACTCGATTCCTTTAGGCCTCCATTACACATTGAAAGAGAATCTATTAGAGATACCGTTTTTGAGGGATTCAAATAAAAGTTAAAAAGTGTGACGACCAGCCCCGCTCTCCCCCACATCTGGATGATAAACTGCATTTTTAAAATATTGCGCACATTTTGCAAACATACATGTTTTTACTGCCCTGTGAGGCGACAGCGACCACAGTATAGAGCACTAAACAGGGCTTAATCAAATCCTGCCTGGGGTCTATATGTCTTTTAGCCATGTATTTAATACGGCTCTGACTCTCCCCATTAAACCTCACAGCTCCTCTGTCTCAGCCTTTACTGCGGCCTCTCCGGGGAAGAGGGGCATTACGAGACACGATGAAGCGCGTTACGAGGGCGCTTACGACGGGAGTTACGAGGGGCAGTTCGCATTTCACGGAGGTCCAGGAATCCCACAAGGCATCTGGAGGAATTTACGAGGGGGGAGGGAAAGCAGGAGGGGGGTTGGTGAGAGGAGGGGGGGGGTTTGAGAGGCGGACTGGGATGCTGTTGATGCCCCTACCCTATTAAAAGCAGCTAATTTAGAAAAATGGCAGACACACACACTCTGTCACAAAAACACACAGAGGTGTGTTCATAAATGTGAGTGCAGGCTGACAAAACAAACTCATATACACAAACTGATATGCATGTAAAGATGCTATAACTCTGTGTATCCATAACCCACACACACATTTAGGAAAACACACGGCAGCAATAAACAGACGCTGCTGTTTGGAGATGAGTAGGTGGGATTAAAGGATCATTCCAGTTTATTACAACTGGGATCTTATTATCATGGTTTTGGCCGCCATTACTATCACATTATATCAGTGATACTGAGTGCTGAGATCAGGGAATATGGTGACATCGCTACAACAAACTCCAACAGTGCAAAAAAGTTGTCAGTTGATCACACAGGTTGTAAAATAGTCAGCGATTTAGCCACATTCTGACTTCATTTAGAGGTACAAACCAAAAGTGATGCACCTAAAATTATGTGTATATGCACAACTACATGTGCTGTGTCCATATAAAATGTTTGGATTGTAATTTTATGGTTCACTTTCTTTTCTCTTCCAAATATGTGTGGCTAACATGAAGCTTTGTATAAAGGCCTGGTCATGGCTGCATTCAAAATGACACTATTTTTCATTAAAATCAATTAATTTAAGCCAATAGCTGGAATAAATGAGCCATAGATAGGCTACGTTTGTATAATATTACATTGTGAATAGGCTACGTTAAATCTCTACTTTTCTTTACGTTTCAGCAACGCCTTGGTTAACATGTTCAGGCACAACTAGAATTACTACCCTGCAGTTATAGGTTTCCACGCACTGGTCAAGTTTCCTCGACAGTTTCCCACAGAAGCACGGATTCAAAGTGGACACCCAAGATGAGTGTGACCAATTCAGTATCTGACCAAATGACTCTCTGTTTGTTCCTGAGATATGACACTGAGTCATGGCCTGAAAAGTGTTTTTGCAGAGCATTACGATGTTACAGGTGAATTTTGACCTTTTGGATATAAAATGTCATCATTTTATCCTATTTGACATTTCTGCGAAATTTTATCATAATCAGAGTACGAATTCTTGAGTTAGAGCCAAAAAATATGTCTTATAAGGTCACAGTGACCTTGACCTTTGACCGCCAAAATCTAATCAGTTTGTCTTCTATCTATCTATCTATCTATCTATCTATCTATCTATCTATCATTGTTGAGTTTGTGCCAAATTTGAACATGTTTCGACCACTGCAGGTCTTCATCAGGGCTTTCAAAACATACATTGTGGTGTGGCAATACCTGTGCTGTATGTTTTGTGCCTGGATTGCCTTCCTGTCGATCCTGTGTTGTTGTTTGTTGGTCTCGAACAGTAATCTGCAGTGGTCTCCACGGTTTGGAAGCCGTCTCTCCTCAAGAGATCAGCTCATATGCTACGTCACTTCAGAGACGTTGATATTATATGTATGAAACGTACAAATGTAATGTATTTTCAGTTTTCAGAAAACTCATGATGCCAACATTTTCTCCTGGTGACCGGGCTGATTAATCTCAAGTTTGACTTTAAGAACTATGAAATGTTAAACATTAGCAAGCCGTCGTTACAGTGCCGTCCTTTGAGGGGCCGTGAGCTGTAGAGTCCAAAATGGAGGAAGCTACTGTGGATTTTCGTGCTTCAATTTACCTCCTCTGTCAGAGTATAAACTGTTCCACAAAAGACGCACAGTTTACGTTAATGAAAACAGGAGTCGAGGGTACAGATAAGTTCTCTAAATAAACTGTGTTGTGATGACCCCTCCTGTGTCTCTGCTCTGCTTCGCCTGCTTGTGTTTCCTCCTCCCCTTGCAGGTAGTGGACTGGCAGTGCAGATCGCGAGCAAGCTGATGAGCTCACAGGCCTACAGAGCTGACCAGTTCAGTCTGCCTCTGTCTCTCAGTCCGCTCTCTCAGCTCCTACACAGCTCCTTTTCCACTCGTACTCGAACTCACACAATTACACGCCTCATCTTTACATTTACTATCCCTTCATCCTATAATTGCACCCACCACAGACTAACACACACACGTTTTATCTCCTCTCCCTTCTTTATTATCATCTCTGGGTCCTACACAGCGTGCAGCAAGTGGCCGGTACAGTAGGAGGTCGCTAATGTTTTCCTTTTTGAGTCACTTCTAAATCTGGACAACAATATGTCAGCAGACAGGCACACAGCCAGACTAAAGGAGCACCTGACCGCTGCCACAGACTCCCTGTGTGGTATGTATACAGTATGTCACCACTTGGGCCATATTTTAAAGCATGTGTAATGAAGTTTGAGGGCATCTGTTGAAAAGATATTGGAATATGAAGCTTGTCACAAAACTATTTGGCCTATTTTACATTTATTTCACCTTAATTTTGTCTGTGCATGAGCATACACCACTAGGCACCACTGTGTCTATCCAGAGATAATGAATTAAAAAAACTTGACTGTACATAAAGCAATTGTCTGGGTTTGTGAGGAAACTTGTCCCATCCTCATTAAATTCCCCACTTGTAAAAATATATCTCAAACTTTCCCTGCATTTAAATTTTTGGAAAGTCTCGTCCCAGGAGCCCCTAGCAACAACTCGCTCCATTATCTCCCTAGCTGCTGCACACACACTCTCACACACACACTTACACGCACACACACTGGCGGATTTCCAGAAACTATTTCGGAGGAACACTGCTGATGTAAAGACACAATTGAACAGTTAGAAACCCTCTCCTCCTTCTCTAAGACGCGGCTCTGCATTGTTCAACCCTGTGTTTACAGCACATACACGGACCCGCACACACGCATCACAGCTGGCACGGAGGGGCTGAAGTTTAACTGTCAGAAGTTTTAGGTTTCACTGGAGTCTACAGAACTACAGTACGTGCTGTCGCCAGTTTCTCAGGTGAGACATTTAAAGAACCTCAGCTGGTAATCAGGGTATTGTTTCCAGGAATGCAGGACACAGAAACTGCAGTCAGACTTGAGTTCGCCTTCGCTCTCCGGGTGCTTTTTCTCTGTCTCAACCATCTGAAGGACGAGGTTTGAACCTCTGCCAAGACCAGCAGCCGATCAATCCCTGAAAAAGCAGCTCTGTTTTGACCCGAGTCTGAGAATGATTTTTGGTGTATGGCTGACCTTCTCTCAACATGCCCACAGACAGACATTTCACAAATCGACAGGCCTGGCAGGATTTCCTTCTCCTCTTGGTGATTTCACATTCATTGGACGCTGGGCAGCTGTATTCAATGTTACCTGGAGGAGATAAGAGACACATATTTTTAGAAAATGCATTGGAACATTAATTCAGCATTACTGTTCATCATCTTTTTATTTAAGTCTGACAAAATTCTCTTACTGAGATTCACAGTTTTCATGTCAAATGTTGACTAATGTGCACATATCATCTCGTCACATAATAGACTTGACATTGGATAACATCAACATACATATTTTAGTTTGCCTTTTTAAGGGCATATATAGCAAAAGGCACTGGTTTTAATCTAATAAGAGTCCTTCTTTGAACCCCGGCATATTTCAAGGTGGCAATCACTCATAAGGGCCCATTCTCCACCTAACACACTCAGTACGTTTACATGCACAGCTTAATCGAGCTATGCTCAAAATTTGATTTTGGCGTCTAATCGGACTTCGGTCCTTGTCCCAGTTTACAAGCAACTGAGAAAATCGAATTACTGACGGGAACGTGTCCTCCTCCTCAACACTAGGTGGTGATATGCGTTGTTTCAGCAGGTTAATACGGCCCCCTTTCCGGTTGACCTATTACTTCACTTAATAATAAACAACTGGAGTCAGGCAGCAGACCGGCATTTTCGAACAACAGCAAGATGGATAATCGTACAGCTTTGTTCATCTCGTATGTAATGTACGCGTTACTGATTGTGCAGATAAGGTGCTCGCTATCCCTCGTGGTCATGATGATTTCAAGAGGCAGACAAGAACGCTGTATGCTGTTGGAGGGCTACAACAATAGCATGTCTTGTCTGTTCCGGGGTCATACGGCAGCACGGGGGGTGTGGAGCACGCGCATATCCATTGTCTAGTTTAACTCCAATTACGGCGTATATATGCTGGAGAAAATCGAATTCCAATCGCATTATCTGGGTGTCTTAATCGGAGTTGGAGAACTCCGATATTAGTCGGAGTAACGCGTTTACATGTACTTCAGTTGTCCAGGTATAGTTGGATTAAGGCAATAATTCGTTTTTTTCAAGTGTCATGTAAACGTACTGACTATTGGAGAGCCCACTCTCTCTATGGGCTGCCCACCTCAAGGGTCCCAATGCAACCACACTGCCTGCACTGTCTAGATTTACGCCCCTGGATACTTCAGAGAATTAGTGTTGTATATTGCATAGTGCTGGGGGTATTACGAGAATCAGATTTAAAAGAAGAATGGTAAAAATCGAAGTAGAAGCCGAGATATCCTGACTTTTAGGCCCCCTTTCCCATGGGAGAAAACCCACTAACACGCACAAACATCTGGCTGTTGCTCTCTAAAACTCTGGGCCAACTTAATTTTGAGTGTTGTTCTAGCGCTGCTTGGACGGAGGTGGACAGAAGTTTGTGGCAGTGCATCATTATATAGCGGCAGAAAAGGGGCTAAAATTAGCATGGCCACCCAGGTGTCGTATTCCCATCACTGTCGATCGGACAGCCCTCATACTTTGACACGTCTTTTATGTTGGCATATACACAGCCAATAGATGGCACTAGAGGGCAGAGTCAAAAGTTTTGCAGAAAACCAAATGAGGCGACAGTGGAAGAAGTCGTAATTTTGTACCTTTAAACAGAGGCAGCGGTGTAGGTGCAGTGGTCTGTGCAGCTATTACGTACATCTGACATATCGATGAAGAATTCTTTTCACTAAATTACCAATTAGTTTCCTTCCACCATTATTTATATTTCTTCAACATCTCCTACAGTTGTATCTCCCTTGAACTACACTACACTGCCTCCATGATCTCAGGTGGCACTGCTCCGTTTCGCCCGTAAAACAGACAAAAGACAAAAAAAGAGACAAAAGGCTCTGTCCGTCTCCATATCTAACATTGAGCATAAATGAACCCTTAGTGGGGGATTTTTCTCCAGTAGTAAAGAGGCCTAATAGTTTATTGGCTCCAACTCCAATTTGCAGTGATGGAAACATGACTTCCAGTTGGATTCACTCATTTTTGGCACTTTATTTCGACACAACCATCTGTAACTCCTGCAACTCTTTGACACCACAGCCATAAATTCCATCTGTCTTCATCCAAGCAGCACTCAATCATCATTCCAAATTAGCTGGCATCGAGATTGAAAGAGAGACTGAATAAATAAAAATGTTTTCCTCGGCCTCCATGCTGCTTTCTACTGTTTACTAACCCTGTTTAACAGTGCGTTCATGAAGTCACAGGTGAGACACCAGGGGGAAAAAAACAGAAAGGCTAACTCATTCACTGGAAATGAGAAAGGAGTCTATTGCCTATTTTTTAGCAGGTTTTCCTGAGTTTAAAAAAACGTCATATACGTGCTAATTCTGGTTGAAAAGGGGTATTACTTTCTTGTGTGAGTCATGCCCTCAAAACACAGGATCCTACACCTCCCATGATGCAACTGGAAAGGGTCTTTCATTAGACTGTTCCTGCCTGGAAAGTATTCAAACCCTCTAAACTCCACACCTCTTGTTTTTGTGCCCCACGCTTTCTTTCATTAATCTGTAACCTCAAGCAGAAACTGACCGTGATGACATCACTATGACATCATCAGGATTGGTTTCTCATGCTTGACAAAGTTCCCTCCAAGCTACAGAGGACATAATACAACAGGCTGTGAAATACTCCTCATGACGAGTCAACTGATGCCTATGTGTGAATTCAGTGCAGTGCATCTTTAATTTATGGACACTAAACATTAAATCTTATTTTCATCATGACATTTTGACTTTAACTCACAATCAGTGCAATCACACACACAAAAACACATGTTCCTAACACCTAATTGAGAGTAATAGCCATGGCAGCCAAAAGTGCGCGTTAAGCCTGATGGCGTCCAGCCAGTTGCAGGAGCTCTCAGCTGCCACCCTCGATCAGAAACAGGAAGTATCTGATGAGCCAGACATCAGATCTCCCTGGCTGATCTGACAGCCGTTCATCCTGTTTGCCCTTTGAATCCATCTAGCCAACTTCTAGAGGCCTAAACACATCGCAGCCTGCCGGGTCCTTGACCTGGGCCCGGAGCCCACAGAGCACAGGACAAGCCTTTTAAAACACCCAAACTGCCTGCCGCTGCCTTTCACCGCTAACAGCTTTCAGGGGTGAAGCGCACACACACACACACATTCAGCAGCACCATATGTTATCTAGAGCTTTAAAGCCTAAACTCAAACATGTTGACTATACACATGACACGCTGTAAGTTCAACCGCATATCAGCTGTTTGCAAACAGGTCTTTATTTAAAGCCTTTCTGCACTTTGAGGCGGGGGAGGGGGGGCCGGACGCTGTGGGCTAACTGATCGGGGTTTGTTTATACCAAAACAAACGACTGCATCTGCACAATGTTGCTAGTAAAACAGGTTTATATGATGCAGCAAGCCACGCACAATAAATTCTGTTACTAAGTATAAAACTGAGCATGAAACCTGCGCCTACGTGTGTTGTGTGTGTGTGTTTTGTCTGTCTCTTACCCTGGATGGTCCTCTTGAAGAAGGCCTTGCAGGCTTCACAGGAGGCCACACCGTAGTGGTAGCCCGAGGCAACATCACCGCACACCAGACACACACGCTTGGCCACCGAGCCCAGCATGAATTCACACTTCACTTGGCTTTCTTCCTCCACAAACCTCCTGGATAGAAGTGAAGAGGAAGAGAGGAAGGGAGGAAGTGAAGGAGACAAATTAAGAGGAATGTGATCAGATAGCAATGGTGCTTCCATTTAACGTCTGTGAGGCAAAACACACAAAGTAAAGGGCAGTATAATGTGAGATTTCCATTGGGGACAGAGGGGAAATGTCCCCCCACCCTTTTCAAACACATGTTAAACAAATGCCTAACACACAACTGTTTAGAGGTCGTCAGCTTCTGGATGTGAATGTAAACTGAGCTCCTGATTTTGAGCAGATATACCCTAAAAAATGTGACAGAGGAGAAGCATATTTGGAATCAGTACTATTCTGGCAGAATTTAACATGATGCCCTACTTAAATGTCCAGTGTGTTGGAAATAAGGGGACATATTGGCAGAAATTGAATATAATAAGTATGTTTTCTTTAGTGTATAATCACCCTAAAATAAGAATCGTTGAGTTTTTGTAACCTTAGAATGAGCCGTTTATATCTACAAAGGCAGAGACCACCATGTTACACCTCCATGTTTCTACAGTAGCCCAGAAGAGACAAACCAAACACTGGCTCTAGATAGGGCCATTCACATTTTTGCACTGACCATTGTCATTAGCAGCTCCTCTGTTGGTAAAAACACTGATAAATGCGTAACTGCTTTATTCTGTGTTTTTACTGGTTGTAATCACCTGGTCTGTGGATAATTTGTCTCCTGGTAAAAACCTCCTGAACAATGAGTACTGAAGGAATTCTAACCGGGAGAAGTTTCAGCTGGTTGCAATCTGCAATACTCACCACTAGATGCCGCTAAATCCCCAGAAATCGTACACACTGCTCCTTTGACTATTTTCCGGATTTTTAATTTCTCCTAGCTATTTGGGATCAGCAGGACCCGATAAGTATAAAAAACGTAACATTGTTAATGATAATTAAGTCCCAATGTCCTCAAATTAGACAACAATAAAGTCCCAATATCTTCAAACTAGTCCTTCCTAATTAACAGCCTCTTGTTGCTGTTGCTAAAATTGGTCAAATTTGTTGCCATATCAAACTACAAACATAGATAAACAAGCTTCAACCATAAACTGTGATCAGGTTTTGGACCTTGTCCACTTTGGTGTCAAGATCGCCTGCAGACTGACTTGGCAGAGATGGCTGCCATCTTGTTTTTAAAATGTGCTGTCCTCATGAGGACGCAGGGTCTCAGGAGGATAAGTGAAGGTCTAAAGAACAGAAACTGGTATGAGTAGTAAAAATGAGAGAATGGATAAAAAAATAACAATAAAAAGAAGAATGGCATTGATTAAAAGCCAAACTAAGTAAATAGGTTCTCAGTTCTTGTTTAAAAATGTTCACAGATCCCGCATCTCTTAAAGCTTTTTGAAAGGTATTCAATAATTTTGGAGGATATTTAACAAACGTTGCACTGCCTGCTTTCTTGTGCTAATTTTGTATATTTAAAAACCCAGCAGTTGAGATCTGAGAGCTTGTGAAGGATTACAGAACGACAGAGAGTCTGCAACGTAGGCTGGTCCAAAAACCATTGAAAGCTTAAAAAACAAATAAAAGAACATTAAATTTTATTTTAAAAAGTGTGCCAACCATTGGAGTGGATAGTATGCTCTGTCTTTCTTGTTTTGGTGATAAGTCGAGCAGCACAACTCTAAGTAAGTGCAATAATCTGATCTATTTGAAATAAAATCATAAATAAATATTAGTGTATCTTTGTAGGATAGGAACGGCCGCACCTTGGCAATGTTTCTTAAGTGAAAGAAATACATCCACCAACCTGTTAGCTTCTCCATTGTTGACCAGTCCCGCTGTGTGACCATAGAGGCTTGGCGAGTCCAGCCCATTGCTGTGAATGTGGCCTTTCGGGGGCCCGTAGCTGGAGTTTGTGTCCGAGGAAGTGCTTCCAGGACTAGGCTGAGCCGGGCTGACATCGCCCTGAGAGCTGGGGCTGGGGCTGGAGGGCTCACGCTTTATAGTGGAGGGACAGGTGGGGTCCAAGCCCCTCACTGACATCCTGCCCAGATGTCTGGAGAACAGAGAGGAGAGAGGAAACACAGGAGAAGCTTTATTACCACTCTATATGATCCTATATGCACCTTATTGTGATCCATATTCATGAGGGTGAAGGATTTGACTCTCAGGTCAGCTATATATGAAGATTCACCTTGGTATTAATATTAATGAGTGGCTAGTTTTATTAAGTCAGGCATCATTTACACAGGAAGTAATAATGTGATAAGCAGCTTTGAAAAATCATTAGCATTAAAGCTACGGTAGGTAATTTTTATTAAAAGAAAATAGCTGTCATATTTGCTGAAACTGTCACCACATCCTGATAGTCTCACACAAGATGGATAATCTGAAAAATTTAAAAATAAAATCAGGTTATGTTGACTCCTTCTGGTGCTGCTAATGGCGCTTGCAAGAATATACAGCACCTGAGTGAAAACAACCAACCGACCCGAGTTTTGTCTAGCGTCCATTTTCATTAGTTCAGTCTGAATATTTACCGCCTCCTGCCTGAAATGCAATTATTGGCCTGTGTTGCGTTCAGGCGTTGTCACGTAAATAACAAATTCCAGCATTTGAATAGGCCATAGCACAACACAGCAGCGTGACAAGTGGGCCAAACCCGAACCGAACCCGAGCAAAATTTCTGATTTGTTGTCCGAACCTAGTTGGACACGTCGGCTATCCACACTTTATTAAAGACCCCTGCTTTAATCTATGTATTCATATATCTATTCACAACCACATACAGAGCTACAATGCACTCTGTTTTGTTTCATCCGTCTCCCAAAGCCTTGAAGACCTCCACCTCTCCACCTCCACACCCCTTCATCCATGCGTCCATCCATCCCCCGTCTTATCTAAACCAGCCGTTTGTGATTTCCCACATATGCAAAGCTGCCGTCCATTACACTGCTTTGTTTTTAAAGTTGGAGATTGCTTAAGCAAACGTAGGGAAATTGCCAAACCAGCAATCATCCGCTTCATCATCGCCATTATGTTCAATCCAAACACGATCATCTTTCCTCTCTCTCTATTGTCTCTCTGTGTCTCTCAGTTACTCATCATACTCGACCTGTCAAACACTCTGTGGCCTTCAACAGTTAACAGGCTGTTACGACAGTTAACAGCTTTTTTACTGTTAGAAGATGTGGTGAATGAGACACAAATAAATGCTCTGCAGTGCAATTACAGAGAAAATGTTACTGCTAGTTCATTTTTGGATGTATTGTGCACTTAAGGCAGTCCAAAAAACACAAAAAGTGCAATGAAGAATGGTTTTAAGAACAATATGCTCAAAAAATACACACGTCTTTTGTCTTAGCATTTTCAAAACTATATTTTTAGGTGTACTTTCTATGCATAGCGCCATTCTAACTGCTTGAAATAACTCTTCCTCTGCCTGCATGTTGAAGTGTGCATCATTACTTTATTATTGGATCGAGATGTGACCACAACAGACTCTCTGTCACCACGACAAGAAGAAAAAAGCATCTGAAACCAGCTGAGGTGTACACTTGGCTCACAGGCATGTGATGAGTGCTCACACACACACACACACATACACTCACTCCCACAGTGGCGTCAGGCGTTCATGTGCGTGGATGTAAAAATAAAAACCATAGACGGGCTCCTCCACTTCTCTACACACACACTTCAGATTCACGTGATCAGGAACATGCCCCCCCCCCCCCCCCGCACACACACACTTACAGACACATTTTAAAGCAAGTGTCTTCATAAACACTCCGACACATACAGGCATGCAACTCTTTGTCGCCAGGCCAACTTTAAAAAGACCCCCTTGCTGTCTCACTCGTGTCACACACTTCCACATGTAGAGAAACACACACACACACGTTCAGTATCCACACAGCCGTACGTCTCTCCCACTCTAATCTTGGCCTGGTGTGGTGGATGTCGGCCTCGGTCTGTTTCCTGCCATGTAAATCAGAGTTCGCTTGGCCACAAGTCATTTGGTAGGCAAAAGGACTGGCTGCTGTTAACCACCTCCAGAGTAAACCATGGGCACGCGCTATTGACCCCTCTACAAGCCCACAAAGACAGACGCACGGACGCACAGTAAGAGACAGACTGACAGCAAATAAACACTCCACAGGAGCCCAAAGTAGACGTTTCTATAAGAAAATCAAGCATCTGCTGTCTTAAAGGGACAGTTCATGCCAAAATCAAAATGACATATGTTTCCTCTTACCTGTAGTGCTATTTATCAGTCTAGATTGTTTTGGTGTGAGTTGCAGAGTGTTGGAGATATCGGCCGTAGAGATGTCTGCCTTCTCTCTGATATAATGGAACTAGATGGCACTCAGCTTGTGGTGCTCAAAGCGCCAACAAACTACATTTGAAAAACTCAACATCAATGTCTCTTTCCAGAAATCATGACCCGGTTACTCAAGATAATCCACAGACCTTGTTGTGAGCATTTTCATGTAAGAACTATTTTCTACCGAACTATACATCCACCAGCCGAATCACTGCACAGAAGGAAGAGTACATCTACTGTTAGTTCACCTAACACCACTGTAGCTAATGTTACAGCTCGGCGGACAAGGACACCATTAATGTTTACATCTTGCTCTGGGTACATAAAGTTCTATCCGACATATTTTCCCCTTATAAAGGTGTTAGGGTGAACACGCTAGCAAATGTTAGCAACATTAGCACTTATGTGGAGTTGTGTTCCTGATCATTTGACGAATGTAGGTCCAATGTTTGCTCCGCTTTTAGATCTGTTTTGGTCTCCTCCGACTTTTAAAAGAAATATCTGGTTCTTTAGCTGTTAAGTGCTGCAATAATTTATCACTTTTTCACTGAAAACATCCGCCCTCTGGGGCTGGAAATGACCTCAATGAGAGCGCTAACAGTGAAACAGTAAAGTTGTGGGCCTTTATCAACAAAGCAATTAGCCTAAGGACACTAAAAAGCTCCATAGAGTTAGTGGGGACTGTGGCAAAAATTGCTGGGGGGTTTTCGCATTCAACTGAGAAATCTGATCCATCTGTAGAAAAGCATTCTTTAAGATAAGGTAGCCAAAAAAATATATAGTTTTGAGATTAGGACTAAAATTCAGGTATAACACTGGCACTAGTATTTAAATATTCTCAAAACAGCCAACTCTTGTCTTAAAGGAATACTTAACCCCCTCTGAATGACTGTTTGTATGTCAGTTACTCATCCTGTGTAAATTTGCATTTGTGAACGAAGAATCCAAAAACTTTTGATAAATTATGGTTGAAGGGGGCTGCGTTTAACAACAGCAAAATTATATCAAAACATCTGTTAACAAACTCTCACACAACTCATGCAGTATAATCCAAGTCTCATTTATACAGTTGTGTGCTCGGTGCTTCCCAAACAGACAGCCTTTCCCACGGGAACTTAAGTAAAATTGAAACTTATCAATGCACTCTCTTCAAAGCCAGACTCCATTGACAAAAACAGTAATTTTACATCACTGAACACAGGAGCTGCTGGTCTACCACTACCTTGATGAGGTAGTTTGTTTGTGTTGTCGTGTGACTTTGGTGAATCTGAACTAACCCTTTAAAACACCAAAGTCACACAGTAACACAAGCAAGCTAACTGATCAAGGCAGTGGTAGACCAGCAGCTCCTGTGTTCAGTGAGGTAAAATTACTGTTTTTGTCAATGGAGTCTGGCTTTGAAGAGAGCAGAGGTAAGTTTCACTTTAAATTCCGTTTCCTGTCAGAAAGGGCTGTCTGTTTGAGAAGCACTGAGCATACGACTGGATAAATGAGACTTGGATTATACTGGGCGACTTGTGTGCGAGTTTGTCAACAAAAGTTCTGAAACAGTTTTGCTGTTGTTAAACGTGGACCCCTATGACTTCAATTAATCAAGAACTTTCTCAGTTTTTGGATTCTCCGTTCAACTTTGAAACATGCAGAAAAAACATTTTCTTAGCGAATCCAATGTAACACAGGATGAGTAACTGACACACAAATGGCCATTTGGAGGGTGAAGAATTCCTCTGAGTGCCCAAATTTTACCTTAATATCCAATGAACAAGCCTTGTAACTCCTCCCCCTCCCCTGTTGCCATGTCTCACCTCTCCAATCCACTTTGAGGACTATAAAAACAGAACACTGAAGAGATTTCAGTTTGCTTTTAAGGTGACTCACTGGGTTACTTATTGGCTATCCATCACAGGCGTCCATATTGGCGTGTCAGGTCTCTGACAGGTACAGAGTGAGATATACTTTGTGCTCTCCCATTATAATGCATCACTGGGTGGAAGATGAGGGGGAGGAGGAGGTGGAGGGGGGAGTTGGTGTTTTGCCTTCATAATGAAATGGCATTAGAGTGGGGTGATCAGATGTGATGTAATATTCACTCTGACAGATTACTAATCTACAACTCAACATAAAAGCCCATCAAAAGACTGTTGGTGCGGCTTCTACAGCGGGGATAAATCAGAGTGTGTGTGTGTGTGTGTGTGTGTGTGTGGGTCAGTGGGTATTCAAAGTTATCCTACCTTAGCCTTTTGTGTCCCAGTATCCAAAACAACTCTAACTGCACCGTGGCAACAAAGGCCAAAAAAATCCGGCGTGAAACGACAGGGAGACAGAAAGAGAGAAGAAGAAGAAGAGAGGCGGGGAGGAAATTATAAGAGAAGGCAGACAGATAGAGGGAGTGTGAAAAAGCCGGGAAGGGACAGAAAGAAAGGGGGCAGTCCGGTGGCTCATTAACCTGGGGGTGTTGAAAGAAAAGAGAGACGGCGACACTCACTTTCAAATGAGCGCGGTCATAATGCAGACAATGACCCGACGGATGAAGGAGGGTGAGAAGAAGACAAGGAGGGGAGGAAAAATAAGAGGGAAGTGACCAAGGGATGTAAAGAAAATGGAGGGGAAGTGAAATAAAACACAAGGCGACAGATACTCTCTGCAATATCACAAAAACAAACTAAGTAACCTTTTAGCCCTAACCCCGAATCCTGAGGAGCAGCTATGTAGGTCAGTGGGGTCTCAGAGGT